ATTTTTTATTCGAATTCTACAGATCTGTAGAATTTGAATAAAAAAAATCTTATCGAATTTGATCAAGTGGGTGCCAAAACATCTTTGATCAAAGTTTTAGAGAACTTTTAAACTACGCCAAAATTTTTAACACTTTGATCGAAGATATCTTGGCACCTATTTAATCAAATTCGATAAAAATTTTTTATTCGAATTTTACAGATTTGTGAATTTGAATAAAAAAAATTTATCGAATTTGATCAAGTGGGTGCCAAGATATCTTCGATCAAAGTTTTAGAGAACTTTTAAACTGTGCCAAAATTTTTAACACTTTGATCGAATATATCTTGGTATCTACTTGATTAAATTCGATAAAAATTTTTTATCCGAATTCTACAGATCTGTAGAATTTGAATAAAAATTTTATCGAATTTGATCAAGTGGGTGCCAAGATACCTTTAATCGAAGTTTTAGAAAACTTTTAAACTGTGCCAAAATTTTTAACACTTTGATCAAAGATATTTTGGCACCCACTTGAACAAATTTGATAAAAATTTTTTATTCAAATTCTACAAATCTGTAGAATTTGAATAAAAAATATCTTATCGAATTTGATCAAGTGGATGTCAAGATATCTTCAATCAAAGGTTTAAAGAATTTTTAAACTTCTATTATATAGAAACTGTGCCAAAATTTTTAACACTTTGATCGAATATTTCATAGCACCCACTTGATCAAATTCGAAAATTTTTATTAAAACATTATTAAAACTATAAATTATACACAATCATTTAATTTATTAAAATAATTTATTTTACATTTATTTCATTCATATTTATTACAACAAAACTAACACTAAACCCATATAACTAACCCTAATCATAACTTTAACTCTAAGCCCATTCTTCTACACACAATATAAGTGACTATACGGCATTATACAACACATAGCAAGAATGACTCAAAGACAAAAAAAGCACCAACAAACGATGACACCATCGATGAAAAGAGAAGAAATTTAGTTAGCAAAAAAAGCGAAGGCAAGTAAAATATATATATATATATCAATAATTTACCCGGATCTGACAATGCACAAACACCAATGATACTGAAAACCACAATATTGAGAGCTATAACAAAACTACAAGCACCAAACGACGGTGAAATTATAAGAACCAGTGATGAAAAGAGCTACGACAAACTACAAGCACCTAACCATGGCAAAATCACAAGCTCCAACGCACTTGAAATTACAAGTACCAATGACTAAAAAAGCTACAACGTACTAATAACACCAAAACCATAGCGGAATCACAAATCTCAACGACACTAAAGCCACAAGTGTTAAAAACATGACAAAATCACAAGTACCAATGACGATTCCAATAGCAACGACTTCAATAACGACAACACTAACGATAGCACCAATGATGTCACCAGTGACAACACCAACTGCAACAATAGCGACAACGAAGAAAAATAAGCTAAAATAAATAGATAAAAATAAAAAATAAAAAAATTTAGTCACGAAGAAAGCAAAAGGCAAGTAAAAAAAAAAACAAATAAATAAAAATAGATCAAAGATAATCTATACTTATCTATCCAGATATGTCCAATTTTGCATCGGCAATCAAATCAACATATGAACTTTTAATCATGTGATCCTCCCGTTATTTGATTGGCCAGAGATATATAGAAAAGTCCATTTTAAATAAATAAATATTTAAGTAATTAAAAAATATTATAAATTTTATATTTGTATAGTGCGATTTTATTTGTAAATATATATACAGTATATATATATAAATTTTAGAGTTAAATAAAAAAATTTAATAAAAACATAATTTATAAAAATAAATATTTTAGTAATTCTACAGTAAGTTTAAGTGTTTAAAACTACTTTTTTCTTTGTAACCCAATTTTTATATGCTTGCTTTAAATTAAAATCTTCAATTGAAGATCCATTAAGAGCGATTAATAGATGATTATTAAGTGTAGAAATTGATATTTTGTTTCTTAATTTAGTTTTAATTATGTTTTGATGAGAAAATACATATTTAACATAACTATTTGATAGTGGAACTATTAATGCAATAATAGTTAAACAAGTTAAATTTAAAAATTGTTTAGAAAAATTTGTTGTTTCAAATATATATTACCAAACTTCAACAAAGTTAAAATTTAAAATTAAATATTTAGCTAAATTCTACTCTTTAAATAATTTAGCTTTATTAAACTTTGGAGCTAAAATACTATATTCGCTATTAATTTTTTTATTATAATAATTGTCTAAAAATTTAAGTTTATTATTTCCAAAATTATATAAAGCTTGCCACTCAGTTGGAATTTCATGTGAATCTACAATTCTTAATACATGATACAGATTAGAATCTGGAAATCGACTTTCAAATTTGCAATTATATTTGTTGCATATTGTATTACAAATTATAGAATTTGAAATGCTGATATTCTATTTGTAGTCATATAGTTAAGAAGTTGTATGCCTAGTTGTGGTAGATTGCCTGGTAAATCAATAAACTCTGTTATAATACTTTCAATTGCTATAGATAATTGGGCTTTAATTTCACCAAGTAAAACATAATCTGACTAAAATATATTAATTACTTTATGCAAAATATAAAACAAGTTAGCTAAAAAATATGTAACAAGAAAAAAATTCTAATCCATTGCATTATACAAATATAATGCAGTAGTAGTAGATTCTTGATTAAATACTTCTTTAACATCATCCAATATTTGGTACAAGTTCTTGATAACATTTGCTCATGAAAGCCAGTGTGTATCAACAATATTTAAAACAGATAAAAATTCATAATGAATATTTTCATCTTGAACAACTCTTAAAGAGTTTTTTTGTTTATATAAAGCTGACTAATAAGTATATATTCTCTTAACTATTGCTATATAATTAGAGAAATATAGTAAATTTTTTGATGCATCTTCTGCTACTAAATAAAGATGATAGATAATACAATAGTTGGCTAAAATAAATAGATTTTTATATTTTAATCTTGCACCTAATCTATTATATAATCCTAAAAATTTTAATTATATAATATAATATTAATTATTAATATTATTATAGATTAATATAAAAGTATAGTAAAACTAACTTTTTCTGATAATCATTTGTAACAAAATTTTGAAGAGAAGAAAACTAACTTTACAGCACAAAGGCATTAGTTAGTATAACTTCAGGTCATATTAAAAAAGATAGAGCACAGAAAGATACACTAGCATGCCAAGTTTGAAAGAAAATGAACAACAAAAAAGCACTCTAGCTTTAGGTTTCTGCATTTTTGGCGAATAGTTTTGAAAATTTGGAAAATTGCTCTAAACCCTGTAACGTTGATCATTACATATAACAGTAAACAAAATATACGTAAACGGGTAAACGAATAAACAAACAAGTATACTACCATTTGCAAATAAATGCAAAAGTACAAGATAGTATAAGAAAACAACTTAGTTATATAAACTACATCAGCATATATATAACAAACAAGAATTAATCAATCACTGTCCTCTAAAGCAAAATAAAAACAAAAAATAGAAATATACAAAAATCTTTTTGCAAAGTCACCAGAGAAATTCAATATAGTTAAAGATAAACATAAGAACAAAGTTCTAAGAAAAGACAGAGAAGTAGCTAAAATAGCAGAAATAGAACCATAGCTAATATGCCTTTTTAGAAATATGATTGAGTTATATAACCGGTTAGAGTTTCTTAGAGTTAGAAACGCTAATAGAAACCAAACAGTAAAACCTGAAAGATATTTAGAATAAAAAAAGTACTAAATGATCAAAAATATAGCTGTGTACATTATGGAGTTTTAGAGAAATTAAATATAAATAAATACAGGCTATCGTATAAACAGATAGAGCTAAGCTTAACCTCACAAGAAGCATTAGCAAAGAAAAGCTAATAGTAAATGAAAAAACTCTAAACGAAAACAAAAAATTTCTCATACCCAAGAATAAAAGAACAAATACTATTCAAGAAATGAGCACTTATTATTTGAGGAAAAAGAAAAAAAAGAGGCAAGATTTATGCAAAAGATAGCAGAAGCAAGAAAAAAGGTGTTTCCAAAAGAATATTTTACACTATAAGATATTTTTCTTGATATAAAAGCAATAAGAATACAAAGGTGTCTCCAGTTCTATGGCCGAGTTCAATTTAATGGTGGGAACTTCTTAGGAAAAAGAAAGCAATATCCTTTATTATAACTTTCTGAAATGAAAGAAGAAAAGCTCTATTAGAAAAAGCATAGGCAGTAACCTCAAAGAAGAAAAAAAAGGATAATTTTGCAAGAGATATTCTTGAAAATAAAGCAGAGTATAAGGCTATAGTCAAGAACATCCTAAAAACAGTGTTAGAAACGATGTTATTGTAACAGTTTAAAGTAGTTAAAACACAGGCAGTATATATATCCCACAATAGCAACAAAAATCAAAGAAGTATAGCATCAGTATTCTTTGAATCTGAGGAGGATTTGTATACAGCCCTAGGTAAAAAGGTGTATTACTACAATACAAAATTGAAATAGGTAAAGAATAAAGAGATTGAAAAAAAGAATATGTAGTACATATAATAACAACCTAGTAAATATAGAGGAAAAAATGTCATTAAGAGGTAGTAGAGAAAAAAAACTTTTAAATACCCTGGGGAAAAAGAAAGTAGACAACTTCCGTGAAAATAAGGAGAATGATGACCCAGCAAAGCAGTAGCTTAACCAAAAAAAGAACCCCAAGGATAAGCAAACAGAGATAATCAGTTAAAATGAAGAAAAAAAGCCCATAGAAATTAAAGACATGCTGATAAAAATACTAGGCAAATTAGAAAAGATCGAGGCTCAACAAGAAATAAAAAACAGGTTTAGAAGAAGGAGCCTATTTCCTAGGTGCTTCTAAAAGTTGCCACAGGTATAACAAGAGAAAAAAGTAGCAAAGCTACTAAGTATAGAAAAGGTGAGGATAGAGAAAATAGTAGAGTAGTAACTATAGGGGTCCACAATATAAACAGGGTTAAAACAAACAAATGCAAGATAGATAGCTTAGTAGATTTTGCAAGAGAAAAAAGAATAGACATTTTGGGCTTATGTGAAATGAATATACAAGATAGAGAGGGTATTTAGCAGATCAACAAGAAGGACAAATATTTTGGCTTCTGGGCACCAGTAGCAAAAGAAAAAAAGAAGAGTTCGGGGTGGCACTTCTAATACATAAAGGTATTGAAAAGTATTTAGCTAAAGTTTTGAAGTGGTCATCATATTTATTAGAAGCGATATTTATCTTTAAAAAAAAAGTATAGGTTGTGTTGGTAATTTATATACCACCAAATAATAGCGAAATTAAAGAAGAAATCTGTCGAAAGGTGATAAAACGAGCAGAATAAAAGTATAAAAATAAGGAGATAAAATGTATAGTAATGGGAGATTTCAACATAGAGCTGGAGAAAATAAATCACAATATAAAGAGAAGAGCTACAACTCTAAATAGAAAAACTTTTATCTGGAAACTCATAGATAGAGACTTCAAAAGCATCTTCGAAAGAGTAAAAAATGGAAAAAAAATAACTACAAGAAGAGGCGCAGAAAAAGATACAACAATTGATTATATGTAGGCCTTTAATAATTGGTTCAAAAACTTAAGAAAGTGCAAAATACAAGAGATGAACCTGATAATAGAAAGTGATAATAACATGATTATAATATGGCTAGAACGAGAGGATATTAGATACATACAAAAAAAAGCTTAAAGAAAAAGAGCCAAAACCAAAAGGATATGTATAGATCTCCAAAGAATCAAACCAGATAATTAGGAAGACTTTGCACAAAAAACAGATGCTTTAATAATAAGCCAAGAATTAAAATGAGTAGAAAGTTCAGAAAAATCAGCAAGCATCTTAAGAGAAAAAGAAAGTCAAGAGGTTCTAGACAGAGAGTGGGACATTATTAAAGCTGTGATAAAAAAAGAAGCCAACAAGACACTTTCAAAAGCAAGACTCATGGCAAAGAAAAAACCAAAAGCAAACCAGAGCTCCTTCCACAAACTTAGAGAAATTGCTAACAAAATTAATAAGCTTTGCAGAAAGGCCAAAAAGAAAATTGGGCAAGTAATAACAGAGGAGTTAGTAAAAGCTCTAAAAAATATAAACATAACAATTGAAATGAAATTGGAGGAAGCCTCAGTCATGTGGAGTCATATATGGTCATGTGATATCTACAAACAACTAGAGCAAGTTGCAAA